CTAGGCACCTGAAACCTACAGTGTCACTGTATTGGCTTGGTTATTGACAAAGTAAGAAGTGGTAACAATAGTATGCTCACCTTTTATTAATGTTTGTTTTAACCTCCTATTTCATTTTTTTAAAAAAAATATGGGTGGATTTTTCCTTCTTTAGTAGCAGATAATCTAGTTTGTATTTCCAAAAGGTTCTTAATTGTCATGTTGCATGGCATGCTCCACTCAGGACACCTATTAAGGACTTCTGAAGCTTTCTGTGCTGCTAGGAATTCTGGATTTTGCAAAACTTAATTAATGCATAATAAATCTTTTAAAAAAGAATTTTAGATTCTATTCAAACAGATTCATTTTTTAAATTATTTAACTCATTTAATACCATATTGTAATTAGATATATTCAAAGTGTCTTACTTAGAATATGTAACATTCAGGAGAATTTTATGTTTGTATGGGAATGTTTCACTTAAATTTTAGTGTGCTAAATTTAGAAATGTGTGAGTAGAGGCAATCTGAGAAATAGGACCTTTATTCAGTGTAATCTCATCTTTAATTAAATGGTCATTCTGCACCAAACTGAAGTTTACTTGTTCTTAAATTCAAGATGTCTGAGAAATAGGGTTTGTTGTATGATGCTGTCAGCTGAGTGCCACTAGGTTTTTCAAAGATTGGAGACAGGTGAATTCTTCTGCTTCCTAATACATCTTCCATAGGGCGTCATTTAACCACACGGGAAAAATTGGCACTCCACATCTTGTGTATTCAGTTCATGTTCTCCAGAAGTTTTTAGTATACCTTTAATGCTATGCACATTTGTACAGCTCTGCAAACTGGACTAGTCTGTGCCTTGCGAAAAAGTTGTTGGAACAGTATTTCCTGTAGCCTGGTCATGGTTACTTCTACCACTATAATTTTCAAAAATGAGATTTTGACAGTTCTATTAATAATTTCAGCTTATTAACCTAGATATTATCAAAGAAAAAATAAGAGAAAAGGGGTGTTACTCTGTCCACCACATCAATAAAAGGTGGACATTTGTCAGTTTCATCCTTTTCATCCCTTATCAGCACATGGAGAGTTTCCTTCCATAAATATCAAAGGTGTGTTCATTGTTCCTCTGGCCTCAGCTTCAGGTTTCCAGTTTTTCCTGCCTGGATTTTTTGATTCTCGATGGTTAACAGCCCTTGCAGTGGCACTTTCCTCCTCCTCTGTGGCAGTTCTCTGCCGCCTCTCCTCCCCACATTGCCGCAGCAGTGTCTACGGCACTGGTGTTGCCTCACTAATCTCCATTTCATCTTTTTTAAATAATTTCTTAATGATTGAACATCCTTTTTTTCTAGTATTTCCAGCTCCTCCTCTCTGTTCATAACATGATGGAGTTTGTCCAAAACCTTAAAGCTAGGCACAGATGCAGCTGTTCACCTTATATCAAAGACCCTCGCAAAGGATGAAACTGACAACTGTCCACCTTTTATTGATGGGTGGGGGATGGAGTAACACCCCTTTGCCCTTATTTTATCTGTGATAATATCTAGGATAGTAAGCTGAAATTATTAATAGAACTGTCAAAATCTCATTTTTGAAAGTACATGTGGTAGAAGTAGTATATGAAATAAGGCAGGATATCCTTTAGTTTGTCATAAGCTTTTTATAAAATCTTAACTATAAACTTTATTTTGTAAATAAAATTAAAACTTTTAACATTAGTGTTTGAAGAGATTATTACTCTTGCTCTAGCTTTACCCTTCTCTATCTGAATTATGCTGAGATACAAGACAGAGAAGTTTGATAGAAATGAAAATTCACTGAATAAAAGAAACAAGAAACATAAAAGTACATATCTTTCTATATCTGTGAGATTCTGTATCTTTTTATTTCTGTGAGATTCTAAAATAGCAGAGTGCACGGTAGTGTGAGTGATTGCGGTAAGACTAGAGATAGAGGGTATCGAAGCAAAGAAAAGCATTTTCTGAGTTGATTCCATGTGTGGTATCTCAGTGATGGTGAGTGCACTTGTCAGCGTGTCATGAACCTTACAGTTAAAACATGTATTTTGTTCACATAGTTTTAAAATACAATACCACATGCTATGAAGTACATATCTTTTAGGTTAATTGTACTAAGGCCCTGTTATTTATCTCGTTTAAATTCGTAAACAGATACATCTTGTTCTGAATTTTCTAGAATATAGACTTAGGGAATTAACATTTTTTTAATGTGAACCGTTAATATTTTAAATTAATAACAAGTAAAATAATGGTATTTATGACTTAATTGATGCTTAGAAATGCCCAATGAATATACCATAAGTAACCCCGTGTGTGTGCCTTACTGAGAACTTGTTTTATCAAGTATGAGTATGTTGCTATTATTCTTTTGAAGTTGTGAGATTTTTGCTAGATATTAAGTCATAAATGGCACTAAGTTTCAGGTTGGTGTATTTAGTGGAAGGAAGGATATATTTGTTTTAGTTTTGTTACTGATGGATTGATGAAAAATTTTACTTTATTCTAGACAACCAGATGTTCCAGTATTTTATTACAGTTGTGCCAACAAAACTACATACATATAAAATTTCAGCAGACACCCATCAGTTTTCTGTGACAGAAAGGGTAAGTTGACATTTTTAACTTCTTGCCCTGAAATTCTTTGTCTTTCAGTTTGAGCTCTGGATCTCTCTCTCTAGGTGTTTACACCTTATTCCTAAATTTGGCTTTCTGGTGCTTTTGTTTTGGGCATTTTGTATTCCTAGCAGGTGGTGCGGGGGCTTCAGTTTTGGGTTTCTCTTTTGTTTATAAATAATGTGAGTAGGATGGGAAAAGACCCAAGAAGACAGACTCCTTGCTCTGTCTTGGGATGGGAGGGGCAACCCAGGTAACCTTATGACTGGATCAGTTTCTGTTCTGTACCCAAAGCTTATGCTCCCGGTTCCACTTCTTGGCTCCAGATTCCTGTGGTTGGCAGTGGGTGTTGGTCTGAACTCAAGCTCCCTAAGTTCCAGAAGGGAGGAAGGTGGAGACAGGACTCAGCACCTGGCCTCACATCATCGTCTCAGCTGCACTGCAGCCCTTTACCCCCTCTGGAACTCACTAAGTTAGAGCTTTGTGTTCATCTAATTGAGAGGACATGGTCTGTGATCTTGGGGGTGTGGGCTATCTCCTCAGAAGTAGGCAACAACGGTGAGGATCAGAATTTGGAGCTGGATAGTTTCTTTTCTATTCTGGGGTCTTGTTTTCTTATTATTGTGTTTTGGGAATGATGAATGCTTTGCTAGTATTGCGCATCCAGAAAAATCCTGAGGTATTTAAGTGGTTTTTAATTTGCATTGCTCCATGTGGAATTTTTTTTTTGATAATTTTATAACACAATGACTATATGTCTTCACTGATTGAGGAATAGTCCTTATTCTTAGGACATTACATTTTAGGACTCAGTGCCATGCGTTAACTTTTAATACTTTTGAGGAAAATCAAGTGTTTGAGGAGTGAATATATCTGTGTAAAGAAGGAGAGGGAGAAATTAGGTCAAATATCCAGGGGCATATATGGTGCTTTTCAACATTCTGTGTGTGTGTGGTAAGAATCTGTTACAGGGCAGAGAGGGGAACCCCAGAAACCCCAAACCTGCCTGCTCTAAATAGTTTCTGCCATCTTCTGCATCAAGACAAAACATATAAGACCTTTACTTAGTAAACAGTACAGAAAGAACAAAGATTAATAATTTCTAAATCAAACACCCAAAGTTACCCATCCCCTCATGGGTAAAAGTCCACCCAAACAGGATTGACCTAAAGCAAGGCCCGAGAGCCTGCCCCAAGTCTAAAGTACCTTCAGCAGGGACCCATAGAAAAGGGTCAGAAACAGCCAGACAAGTCTGTGGGGAAAAGAGTAAAATTAAAATGAAAGTAAAAGCTGCCATAGTTTACCTTCCCACAGGTCTTTCATCCACATCTGTGTCACCCAGTCCAGGACCAAGAAGGAAATACATGCTCTCTGCTCCATGGGCTTCCATTAGGTCTCCTCCTGACTCTCCATCCTGCTTGCTTCCTTCTCCAGTCTCCCTCCCCCATGCTCACTCCCCACCCTACCCCCAGCTTCTCCCTGCTCAGTTCCACTCTCTTTTGGGTGGTGCAGGGAATCTGGAACCTCCCCTTTTCCTGGACATCACCTTGTTAGACTTCCATTGCCCACTGAGGTGTGGGAGGGGAGTATGGGAGGGCATCCTGAACCAGCCAGCCTATACCATGGCGAGGCTTTTTAGGCAGCAGGCACATACCCACTGCTGAGGGCACTCACATGGCTTAAGTCTGTGGAGGGATACTTGGGAAAATCTAGGAAGGGACAGGTGCATTTGCCCTTTGACCCAGCAATCCTACTTTTAGAAATTGCATCCAAAGATAGTGTAGAAGAATTTAAAAATAAGATGTATACCTATTCATTGTGGTGTTGCTTGTAATAGAAAACTGGAGACTAGTGGTTTATTCTCAAAGTAGAGTAACTTGCAAATTAAAAAATGTATGAGATAGATAACCTATGTACTGATGTGGAATTAGGTTATATTTTAAATAACAAAATCAAATGAAAACAAACAAGAATCCCAGAGCATTTAACTTTTGTACTAAGAGGGTGACAAATAGCTATAGAGTTGGGGGAATGGAAAAAGGGGGAGAGCTCATTAATTAGTTAATCAGTTTTTTGCTCTGTAGACACCCTGATCCCTGAAACGGCTTTCACCCATGTAGGGAGTAACAATATATTTGTAATTGTGGCAGGATATTGAATATATCAGGGCTTTCAGATTAGTCATTTTATTGAAAAGTTGATAGGTCATGCATGAGGCCCTGGTGTTTAGTGGGATAGAGAATTGTTATAATTCTAATAGAGAATTGTTTCACTTTCCCTTGGTAGTAATTAAGCTCCTCATTTGTATTCCTAAAGTTTTCAGGTTAGTTATAGGTTGGTCAAATAGGCAGGGCCTGGCACAAAATCATAGTAAAGCAGTGTAATAGCTGCTTGAAGTGAATAAGAATGGAATGAAATAAAATATTTTTTTACTCATTGGGGGAACTGTGGTAAGTTTTCTTTCAAGAAAAAAAATTCTACCTTTAAAAACTGAAGCAAGGTATCTGAAGTATAACATTAAAGAAACTAAGATACCAAGTGTTGATATCTTTCAAAGTAATGTGTTGCTTTCATCCTTAGTGTATCTCATATTGTTTAAAATGAACCACAGAATGAACTTATTTAGTAATTAGTCATTCAGATAATAGTATTTTAATAATTGAGCAAATGCCACTAAAAGCATGGAAAAATATTAGTGTAGCTTCTTGTTTCATTTGATTTAGAGAGGGATGAGCTACATAGTTGTAAGCTTATTTCCTTAAATAAGGAAAATGGCTTGTTTCAAAAGCACATCCCACCAAGAATAAAGAGTGATTGCTTCGCCCTGCAGTGTGGTGTCTTTAATGTGACGGCAGCGCTGTTCTTTAGTGACTGGTGTCCCTCCTTTGTAGTCGGGCTGGAGGACTTCATGGACCTCTGGTGATCTGGGGCTTGTTTTCTGACCTGCCTCTCCTGGCCCTCCTGCTTTCCTTGCAGGAACGCGTCATTAACCATGCTGCAGGCAGCCACGGAGTCTCCGGGATCTTCATGAAATATGACCTCAGCTCTCTGATGGTGACCGTGACTGAGGAGCATATGCCTTTCTGGCAGTTTTTTGTAAGACTCTGTGGTATTGTTGGAGGAATCTTCTCAACAACAGGTTAAGAGCCATTCTTTGTCCAATTTCTGAATGTGTTGCTTACACTAAAATTAAGATACTTTTCTTTAAAAGGGGTAAGAAATATATACATATTCATGTTTTGATATTTAAAGAACTTTTTCATTAAGATGTAATTCCAGGGCCCTTCCCTGGTGGCACAGCAGGTTAAAGCACAGCATTATAAATCTATTGGCAGCCACTGCAGCAGGAATTGGATCCCTGGCCAGGGATGGTGACCCACATGGTGCAGCAGACATCTCCTGACCTGCCTGCTGCTCCCCTCAGCAGTGTTTTTCAGTACATCTGCCTGTACTGTTCCCCACTCTGTCTATGGTGAATCCTCTCACCCCTTATACCTCTGGCCTGTACCCTAGTTCTTACATACATTAATAAATAAATCTTTAAAAGAAAAAGATAAAATTCCAAACCTCCCAAGTTACATTATGAGCTGAACATAATTAAGTCCCCTGAGTCTAGTGATCTATGGGAAATCATTAAATGAGGTAGCAAGATCCTAGGATTTAACATAAATCTTGCCATTTATATGGTGGTGATTTTGGGTAGGTCATTTCCCTTTTAAAAGTTCTGTTTTCATTTCTGAAAATGGTAGTTGTTACTTTAAGACATAGTTGTACTATAAAGTTAAGTGAAAGAATGCCTAGAAATAGCAGACACTGTAATAACACTTGTTTTGAACTTAAAGTATGTTTACCTCTACAGCATTTCAAATTATATTTTATAGTACTTTGAGTTACATAGTCAGGAAACCAAGTTTTTCAGTCAATAATCTTTTTATCATTTTTGGCCTTTTTGGTGAGATTTCAGGCTGCTCTCAAAGACAACCTGTAGAATCCTAGTTTTGAAGACGAATTAATAGTAGATAAAGAAAGGAAACAGCTCTGTTTATCCTCAATGTCTATTCACTATTACATGGAGGTACTGGTTTATATACTTCAAAACTTATTTATTTTCTAATGAAAGTCTTTGTCATGGCTTTATTTAAATCCAGTAATATTTAAAACCAGTGATACTGGTTTTAAAAATTATATGGGTGTGAGATGTATTTAGCACCTTTGAAAAGATTGCCTTGTCAACGTCGAGAGTTATTAGGCCTGATTCTTTTGAAAAGATATCTAATTGTTTTAAAGTTTACCTGTCTTAACACTTCTAATCATGGATGTGAACAAGGAAAACCGCTTCATTTTTCCCCCTTATGTTGTTTTATCTGAATTTGTACTTAAGGCGATTTAGGAAATAATGAATTTAGGAAATAATTTCATTAGAAGCACAATCTAAAATATACACTTATTTTTTTATTATAGGCATGTTACATGGAATTGGAAAATTTATTGTTGAAATAATTTACTGTCGTTTCAGACCTGGATCCTACAAACCCATCAATTCTGTAAGTGGGATAGTAAACGTGCTGTTGTTCTCCAAGTCGCTCTGTTAGATTTAAATTGTAGCTTTTGGTGCCCAGAAAGGAACTGTCCCCAAAATGTGCATGTTGAAAGAGCACCTAGTATTGGGAATCAAACTAACACTTTGGCCTTTTCTTCTCCAGGTTTCTTTTGAGGATGGCCACACAGACAACCACTTACCTCTTCTAGAAAATAATACACATTAGCACCTCCCAAGTGAAGGAGAAAAACTTTCTGCCTGAGACATAAAACCTTTTTTTAATAATAAAATATTGTGCAATATATTCAAAGAAAAGAAAATAAGAATGTGGAGCAGGAATCACAGCTAGAAATAATAAGAAGCCCTCCCAACCGAAATCCTGTATATGTTGTGTCTGTTGAAAACGTCATAGAAGAAATTATGCAGCAAATCACTGAGTAAGCCCACCTGGAGTATTGCTTTGAAGAGGACCCCTTCTGATACTTTCACAGCACCTGGGCAGTATTGAAATCAGACCTTGCTTTTTGGTGACAGAGAACCTGAAGAAGTCAGATTACTTCAAAAGAAAAAGTCATTTGACAAGTGCATATGTTTGCGTCTTTTTGTTTTTAAAAGATATGATGTGAGAATAAAATATGTCAAACATATGGAAAACTAGTCTAGACTTTAAAAAATTGTCATCAGGTTACATTGTTAATAAAAGAAAACAGGGATGGCCCATGTGATAGCAATGTTAATGTTAAGCCATAATGACACGGCCCCAGGAATTTGGTCTTGTGAAGGTAACATTTTTTCTTTAAACACAGCTGTTGACTGTTAGACCTTTTCAAAATGGAGACTAAGGTGAATTCTCACAGGGACAGATACGTAGGCATCAAAACAGGTACAGAGGTATCAGGCACCAATTGTATATGGGAACTTGGACAGGAAGAACATTTTTAAACTAGCTAAATTCCTAATTTGATCCTTGTTATTGCTAAGGAGAAAAGGAGAATATTATATACTTTGTGATGAGTGGGCAAGAGGGTAACTTTAAATAATATGCAAATGTGAGGCAAATATTTAAGTGAGGCAAGATAATATTGAATCTGAGAGACCATCATATCAAACAATATCCACTAAATCAGAAAACCTGATTATGAAGGAAGTATCTGCATTCAGAGTGTCCTGAATGTGTTGATTCCATATTAGATTGCGGTGTTCCAGCTTTCTTACTAATTAAGGGCCAATTTTAAAAGTTCACACTATATAAAAGATTGAAAACAGGAAGCTGAGTTTCAGGTGCTGTTAAAAGTTGTACTTGAAATACATGCACCAACACCAGCTCTCCTTGTGTATCTAGGAGAGTAGTTGAATCATCAAGTGATCTTATTTAGGGAAATGGGCAAACAGAATCCCAGGTAAGTAATAAGGCTAAAACTAAACAGCTAAATTTAAAAATGCAAGGTTTTTTTTTTTTTAAACAAAGATGTCATTATAGTTTAAAATGGATCTTTTAAAAGGTTTTCTTTAAAACAGTTGAAATAGATAATGGAGTGAAGAAGAGAAATACTGATAAAACTAGTCCGCGATGAAATGCTTATCTACTGGCATTTGTAGAAAGTTAACACAAATGTCATGACTTATACCATGTATCATTGAGTCGAAGTGATCTGATTAATGCAGATGACACACATGCGTTGAAAGATTTTTGAATCCAGCAGATTCCAAATAGTGAATGTGCTTTTATTTGTGTTTCTTTGGATATTATTCCTAACAAGTTAAACTAGATAGAATGTCTCTCAAAATAAATTTTTATTGGAAAATTTTAGCTTTTTTAGACCAAGTGTTATGTGAATCTGCTTGTCAGAAGATCACTTGTTTTTAATAGAAAAAAAAAATACTGATTTCAAATTATGTTCAGTTAGGATTCTAACAGTTTTTAAGTATCTTTAAAAGGGTTTAAAACATTTTGTTAATTCTGATTCAAAATTATTCCATGTTTTCTCACCATATTAAAACTATAATAGAATTTATCTCACCCATTAAAACTGACTAACAGCATTTTCTTTAAAACAAAATACTGCTTTGCTATTGATCAGTTCCCACTCAGAACCTCTCTGGTAGTTGGTTGGAATTTTGGTGGTGAAGGTACTACATTCTGACAGCCCCTGGATGATGTGACATCACCTGCGCACCAGGCTCTGCCAGAGTCTGCCTCACTGAGCTTCCCTCTACTGAGGACACACCGCCCACCTCTGTGCAGCTCTGGCTTTTGTGCCCACATTTACTACTGTCTCTTCATTTTACTGGGGTATCAGTACTATTGGCGTGTGTATTTCAGCCTAAATATTTTAAATGTTGAGGCTCAAATGTTGTGAAATGGGTTTTAAGAAATTGTGTTTGCATATATTGGCCTATAAAAAATATTTAGGGGAATAATTCACTGCTGCAGTATTTGTGTATTGTAGACTGCCTCTTGGGAAACAAAGAATGATGAAGTTTGAATTTTTGATTTAGGTCATTAATATCAATTTTTCTCACATTTTATAATAGGACTAAACATAATTATTTGCTAATGTTAACAGTTTACAATTTTTAATACAAATTTGAAATTCATGTAAATTTTTCATAATATAAGTAGGCATATTGATGCATTCTGTCTTTTTGTCTTGGGTTAGTAACTCCAGTTCTAAAAATTAATATCACAACTCTGATGCTTCAAAATTTAAAATACTTTCTTGAATTTGAGTTCTATACATATTTTTGATTGTTTAAAAATAACAAACCTGAATCTTGGGACCTTTTTAAAAATCTCAGCATAGCCTTTATGTGGGACTTTTTCCTCTCCCCTTTTTGGGGCTCAAGCATGCCTCCAGCAAACCAAGGTAAGCAAGCCACATGTTTCCTTACTGCTTTTGAAATATTTTAGTGCTGAAATAATTTGCATTATTTAGTAGCATTTTTTTCTTGTAGGTTTTTTTTTTTATAATCTTAATACAGACTCATTTAGTCTTTCAGTCCTGAGTGTGTGGTCTTCCAAACTAAATGGTAAGCCATAAAACAAATGTTTTGTCTTCCAAATAAGCCTCAATCTCATAATCTCCTAGGAAAACTATAGCAACATTTAAATTTTACTTACATCTACTTTTTCCTCTACATGTATCTAAATTACTGTATCTCATACTTTTCATATTTTCAATGTGTGATGAAAATTGAGCAAAGCCAGTCACCGGAGTTGAATATACAATTTTACACAAAATAATGTATCAACTCCAAATTATATTTAATACCTAAGGAATTGGATTAACAACTCTTCCTAATATAGCACATCTCTACTATTTTGTGTAATTTAGGGTAAAACAATATGTGAGGAAAAGTACAAATGAAAGCTACATAACTGCAAAGCAGACTTCTTTAACGATGTAACTATATAATACATTGTAAATTCTGTTAAGCAGTTTTGCAAGTCAATTTAGTGAGTTCTTGTACTGTAATTTCTTTGGAGTGTTTTTCTTGAAATGACCAGAGTTGCCTGCCTCACCTCTCCCACCCATTTACAGTTGCAGTTTGGAATCACTGTTTCAAATACAGGGCACACTTTGTGTGTTGGGAGAACTGCTTCTAGCTATTTTCCATAAGAGCGTATATTGTGGCACAGGGCACTACAGTGCCTCAAGCCAGCTACTTAAAACTTACTCTCTAGCCAGTGAACAATTCTCTATACTTTTCTGTGGGTATAGTACTTACTACTGTAGGCAGTACTGCTATTCCCAGAACATAGACTTGCTGTTCCAGAAAAATGCTGTGTGGAAATACACATGTAATTCCTGTAACATTGAAAATTACTTAAAACTTAAGGCTGACTTGCTTCATTGTGTTTGTTGGGAAGCAGTGCTTTTTTGGATATTAAACCCTTCTAAGATCAGTCTACTTACCTTTAGTAGGTTTTAATTAGTTACTGAAATGAGATGCTAGCTAGAGGGTGATTTAGTATAAAATTGTGAGATGTTTTTCCTGTCAGAGTACCCATCTAGTTAACTTTTTCTAGTAGTAATTGCTTAAAGTGGGACTGGTGGGTGTAGAACTGACAGATTACTAAAACTTCCCTTTAAACTTAAGATACTTTTTAATGAAGTTATTGTTTCTTTGCCCAACCAAAGTAAGAGGTTCTTTGCCTTGCACTCTATGTATTAGACACTTAAGTAATTGTTCATTGGTCTTGATATAAAACAGGAATTTTCTTTCATATAGATACTTTCACTGCTTAATCAGCACAAAGAAAAAACAATGCTGCAAAGAGGACAGTGTCAATGTGATCCTATTAAGAGTGTCAGAGAAAGCATTATGTATCTTAGGTGTTTTATTTACATTCCTCATGTTATCTTTGGAACTCAGCACTTGGAGAAAAAAATAACACTTGAGGAAAAGTTTTTAATTCAAATTTGTTTAATCAGAAGTCAAAATGTGAACACTTGATCAGTGGAATTTATTGAATGACTTGGTGAAACAATCAAATACAATTCAATAGTGTACTGTATTGTAAGCATACATAATCAAGGGATAGTATTTTCTTAGAATTATATTTTATCCATTTTCATTGAATTGTGTCTTATTCATAGCTGTAGTATTTTAATCTGTGTTACTAAAGGTATTACATTGCAAACTATCACCAGGTGCTTTGTTCCTTAGCTGGGCTAGCTGTCATCTAAAGTCATTTCTAGAAGTTGAAGGAGATTGAGAAAGACACTGTCCTGCAGAGCTCTTCCAAAATGTCCTCAATGAGCTCATAAAAATCTCAAGTATAATCAGGCTAGAAACTTCCTTCAAGGCCTATACATTTCAAGTACCCAAATGTGCCTCTCTGATTATTGTTATTCAGAAAGTGAGCATAAATATAATGACCATTAATGTTTGTAATTTTCTAGTTGCATTATTATTTTTAGTTCTTTAGGCCTCAGGTACTGTATTTGGAAATTTAGTTTGTAACATGAAATGGTGAAATCCAATATGCACCGATCTCAAATGTGAGAAAAATTGGGGAAATAGTTATTAATGTAGAACTTGAGAATAAATATTTATTTTACTAATTTATTTGCATTATACAGAAAATATTTTTAAACAAATGAAACTCCTATTTAACTTAGTCACTTAATGAAGTCTGTCTCTTCTGCTCTACATTGTACTATTTACATTATGGTTGGAATGACACAGTAACAAATATTTTCGTGGTCACAGAAGAAGAATCTTTCTCACTTTATGCAAAAAGACTGAAGCCAGTATTTTGTGTGTATGTGTGTGTATAATTGTTTTTCTCACAGCAGAGCCAGGGGACTGGGTTTTGTATGATTATAGCCTATGCCTTTCCCACTGATCACTAAGTGAGGCTTGAACAAAATGAACTTAAATATAAGGATAAACAAGCAGGGAACTCCGGAGAGAAAGTTATCAGGGAAATTGTGGATTAAGAAATGATAGTTGTCAGTAGGCTAGGCAGTTTGTCCAATGCAAATATGCATGGTTTCCACCTGTATATGTTTATACCTTTTGGTTCTTTTTGTGGTTCCTGAGTGGGCATCCTTCAGGGTAATGTTGGATGTGAACCCACTTTGCTAATTCACCATCCCTCAACCAGGACTCCATAGTATAACACAGAAATGAGACAGAGAATTTGCAGGGAAAATTCCTAGAAGGGCTCCCAGATCAGAACTGCTACTCTACTCAGCTTAAGCAATGTGTTTTTACATACTGTGTTGAAATTAATGCTATGCAAGAGGAAAGAAAAGCCAACCATGGAAAGCTGGGGTATGCATTGCTATTTTATATGAAGGCAGAATAATTTTTCATAAAAAGTACATGATTATATGCTAGGCTACAACTTTACTTTTCTCAGTGAAAGAAAAATAAGTTATAACTAAGAGAAAGGGGTGACCACATAACAGCACATTGGCCAGGCCTGGAGCTGGGGCACGTTCTTGATTATTCTTAATCTTGAACTGAAGTTTGCTGTTTTAGAGGTATCTGAGAGGTTCCAGATGAAAGTAGACTGTAGAATGTTTATGCCTTGAGTGTGCTGGATGCCCTAAAGTAGGAGAGGAATTTGTAACAGAAGCTTACAATGAAGAGCCAGACATTCCGAGCCATCTGAGATCTTGCGATGAGAAGGCGCCATGTGATGAGGAAGAGCACAGTGTTAAAGAAGTAGCGGATGTTTCGTAGCCTGGGGCACAGATAAAAAACCAGAGTTAGAACTGGAAACAACTTAGCTGAAGCACAAATGTAATGTGTCTCTTCCCAGTATAGCCAGGAAGTGTTTGGTATGTGCTGCTGGAGTGTCTGTGGCGTGGCATGTGACTTCTGGTTTTTTTACTTGCATTACTACAGTTCTGCTGAATGATCAGACGCTTGTAATATAACCTCACCGAGTTTCTCATACTTCCCTCTATTCTTAAATATATTTAGATCATATTACTACATCACATTTTCACTGGTGCTTGTTTACTATAGGTTAAATTCTAATGTTCTTAGTCTTGAAGTTCTTTTCTGTTTGCAATCTGTTTTTTCCGACTTAATCATCTCTGCATTAGAAACTTTGTTTCTACCAGAATTCTAGCAGAATACATAATTTGGCCCTTACAGACTTGCAGTGGGAAGGAATTTAAGACAGTTCAAGACTTCAGTATTTAAGTGACTAGTCCATATTCATTAGGACCATTGGCCTTTTCCCTTTATGTCACATTATGAGTTCAGAGCTGGGTTTTGTACTTACCAAGGTACTATAGACAGGTTTCTGAGCTCCTTTGTACATAAATAATTTCTGATGAGAATTGATAATATTACAGGATACCATATGCAACAGAGGACCTGTAATAGTGACTGCTTGAAAATTATCCCCTTCCCCCCATTCAAATTTCTTGCCTGCATAAAACCAGATACATGATAATAAATATTAACTGGCTGATTATGCTTACTTTTTTAATTGTTGTCTTGCTTTTGGAATACCAGACATATCCTCTTTTAGTAAGTACTTCTTAATTCCTAACACATAATTTTCAATGTAGTCCAGCCAGTTCAGTTGGCGTATATCAAAGTTGAATACCTGAAAGGCAAGAAGAAATCATGGATTTCCAGAACTGCAATGCTGTCAGTCACTTTGTCCACTTGACTGAAGTTTCTATTACAAACATTCTAAGTGTTCTTTTGGACATTTAGGGGCTCAGCCTAAGGGGTATCTTTTAGCTGTTTCAAAGATCTGGGGTAAATTACTATTTATATAGCAAAAATTAAATATCAGTGTCAGCTGTTAGGAAATTGAGGAAAATATGTAAATGAGAACTAGTTTTAAAAGTGATGGAATAATATATTAGGGACCAAAACATAAATTATGTATCTTTTCCATTCTTAAATCATGGTGTTTTATAAAACAAATTAAGGTAAGTGTGGGAAGTAATACGGAGTAGTTTAGCAAAATTTGTTTTGTTTGCTTCAGAGATGTTCATCTCCAGTGAACCATTATATGAGGTTCTTTTAGGAGTTAAGCAGAATGAAAATCTGCTGCTTGTTAAATCTAATATATGTCCTCTTTCTGGACAGTGAATGTCCTTTGCCACCAGAAGCTCAAGAACACATTCTACCTAATTGTAATGACTAATATTCTCTTCTAGACTACATGGATGTTCTATTTTTTTCATTCTTGTCTTTCATATTTTCCCTGGCTATATGTTTTATTTATTATTTTGTTACATGTATTTATTGCAAGAGATCTCAAATTTGGAGGAAATAATGTAGACTAATTAAAAGACAGCAGATGAGATTAATGCATTCCTAGAAGCTTTATAAACTTATCCAGTAGCTCACTTGCTTTACAGAAGTATCACTAAATAATTATATAAGCAGTACTGTTTCACACTTCTGCATTAGATTTCAATGAGATCCTTGTTTGGAATCCTGATTCACCATAGGGTTAACCACATTAAATTCTGAACCATACCAAAGTTTGGCCATCTCATGCAAATATTCCTGACTACTCCCTTTGCTAAGATTTTAAAAAAGTATATGTTAAAATTTGGTTCTTTTGTCCCAAATTTTAGTTATTTTCAAATAGTAAAATGTCAAACTTCAAGCTAATTACCTTTGTTTTATTTGGATGGTTTGAATTCCTAAAGAAAATGCAATAAATATAAGAAGCTACATGAAACTGAAGCTAGTTTTTTAAAAAACATTCTTGATCATCTCAAACAGTACTTAGAAGAATTTTACCTATATAAATATGACTGAAAATATCTACTTCAGTTGTACAGGTATTCAATCAGGATTTCAGTTAAAATATCTATGTGAAGACCAACCCTGGTTCTATACCATATGCAAATAACCATTAGATTCTGTGATTCTAGAACTTGGGCTTGAATTTTGTTTTTTGAGGCTCATAGAGGAGCAGAAAATCTTTAACTGACAAGTGAAGGTAGCATAAATGATCTCTAACGTCCAAAGCAGTCCTCACAAAAAGGAACTAAATGGAGTTATCATACTCTGACTTCAAACTATGCCACAAAGCTATAGTATTGGGAAAAAATACACATGTAGATCAATGGAACAGGATTAAGACCCTAGAAATAAAGCCACATATATATGGAGAACTAATTTAGATCAAAGAAACCAAGAGAAAACTAGAAAAATGAAAGACTTAATAAGTGGTCTTTGGGAAATTGAGAAATTAAAATATAAAAGAACAGAACTCAGCAGTCTTAACATTATGCAAGAAGTTAATTCAAAGTGAATCAGACTTGGATATAAGACATGAAAACATGAAGGATAGGGAAGAAAAGAGTAACTTTGACATTGGTCCTGTTTTTGTGATTTTTTTTTTCCAATGGCATGAGGAACAATAGCAAAAAAAAATATCAAACTAAAAAGCACAAAAGAAACTATCCCACTGAATGAAAGGAATCATTTGCAAATCATATCTAATAAGAGATCAACTTACAAAATATATAATTTAACAGCAAAAAATAATCAGCCTGATTAAAAGATGGGTAGAGAATCTAAATACTTCAAAGGATACACAGATGATCACAGACCATGAGCTGATTTTCATCACCTCATTACTAAGTCATGTAAATCAAAACCACAGTGAGGCAGCACCTCACACGTTAAAATTATCAAGAAGCAAATACGTGTTGATAAGGATGTCGAAAAAAGGGAATGCTTGTGCGCTGTTGGTGAGAATATGTGTAGTTATTATAGAAAAGAGCATGGGGATTTTTCAAAAATTAATGGTAGGTGTATCATGTTATACAGTTACTTCACTTCTGGGTAGCTAAAGAATATGAAAATACGAATTTGAGAAGATATGTGCACCCGCATTCACTGCTGCATTGTTTACAATAGCCAAGATGAAGGAACACGGTGTCCATTGATGAATGGAGGATAAAGATGTGGTATACATAAAGTGGGACACTACTCAGCTGCAATACAAGATGAAATTTTGCCATTTTTAAAACATAAGTGGACCTTGAGGAAATTCTGCTTAGTGAATTAAGTCAGAAAAGACAAATGCCATATTTTACTCATATGTTGACTATGAAGAATGAAAGCAAATGAACACAAATCTAGATTCTGACATCGGAATAGGTGGAGTAAGAGGGACCAGTGAGTAAGAGGGCAAGGATAGATTGATTGGGTGGGGAAGGGAGGTCAATTGCATGGTGGTGATCAGAATCCAGACCTTTTGATGGGAGTCAGCATAGCACATAGGTGTTAAATTACAGTGCTGCACATCTGAACTCAACTAAAAACCAATGTTACTTCAATATAAAAATAGTAATTTACTATTAAAGTTGAAGAGGTCATTCTCCAAATTTAATATAGTGTCATCTGTTTATTCAGGAAAATATCTCTCCAGTAGTTTTACAGATTAAAGATGATTTTGATTTGACCATAACAGTGAATGAGTGAGTTTGTGAACAATAAAATTATTTTCACATCAATCAGACCCAACAGAGGTTAGAGGAAGGTGATGACACCAGAGAGTGAGGACAGGGCTGCAAATGTGAACAAGCTTTGGGGCCCATGATCCTAGGTCTCTTACCTAGAATCATTTGAGATGATTGTGTTAACCAACTTTCTTAGCAAAAGAAAGTAAATCTCTATATGTTTGCTTTGTTCACCAGCCTTCCAGGTCAGGCAGTGAAGCCAGCAGGCACAGCTGGCTGTTGTGAGTGCTGCACTTACCCTCTGGTCTTCAGGACTGAGCTCCAGCATCAGCATGTCTGTGTTGGAGGTGCTCCATTCCCAGCTGTGGTTGATGAAGTACTCCAGCATGGACAAGGTCTTCAAGAGACGATTCATGAGCTTGGTGAACCTGAGGTGAAGATCAGATAGGAGCAAACATCAGCATACCTCATGGGAAGACTTATGCTATTAGGGATTATGTATGACCAATGATGGTTGATAATTTGTAAAAATCACCCCCCCTTCCCATTTCCTTTCTAAGCATCATTTCCTTTCCACACTAACTCTGTTAAATGAAGGAAAGGGCATGAACTCAAAGAATCTTACCTATCAGGCATTTTAATATAAACTGCCTTTCCTCTTTTCTGCTGGTCTTTTTCAAGAATAAGTGAACATTTAAAAGCAAACAAACAAAAACCCCCAGCAAATTAAGTGCCCTGCCTGAAAACATGTTTATTGAATTCTGAGATAGACAATTAGAAAAATGGTTTCTCCTATTTATGGAATTTTCTTGGACTTAAAAATTATGTTGATAAGAGGTCTGAGCAGAGGTGTTGGCTGTATTAGCAACTGGTGACCTAAAAGTAGTTGTCAATTGTAATACAGATTTAAGAGGAAAAAACATATTTGTTCATACCCTATGCTGCTGGACACAGCTGATGGTTGAAAAGTCATCTCTAAATTCTCATAATGTGTTTGCTAGGTATCTTACATGCATTCATATGAATGGGTAAGTGAGCTTAAGATGAAGTAACCACTATAGTAAGTGTCAAAGCCAAAATTCCAACCCAGTTTTGACCTACCTGACAAAGTCCCTGCTTTCGTAATGTCACGCCTGTGACCATTACTTAAGGTGGGCCACATCATCCAATCTGTGGTCAGGTGTCAGACCAACTGCTATGTCACGGTCTCAACTTTTAACAATTCACAAAAGTCTTTTGCATTTCATCTTATTCAATACTTGTAACAGGACTCTGAGGTAGTCCTTATCTTACAGCAGGATTACTAGGTTCAAGGTTCCATAGCTCATGTTCACACTTAGGTCTCTGGCTGTAAATTGCCTCTCACTTACTTTTATTGTAACCCCTCAGGACAAACTTGATGGCACAGTTCAGTAATGACCCAGGAACGACTTACGCAATTTTGGGAATTTGGTCTTATTTTTGGTAAAATTCTAATGCTCGGATACTTAATACCTCATGAGGTATTTCTCTCTTTGTATCATGGGAAATTCTTAGGAGGTGAATTCGGATAATAGTTTACTTTAGTTACTATCATTTAAGATCTGCTGTAGCTGAGTGTTTTTGTGTCCACGCCCCTTCCAATTAATATGGTGAAACCTAATCCCTTCAGTTTGACAGTATTTGGAGAAGGATACTTTGACAGTGATTAGTGCTTTTATAAAAGAGACCTCATTTGTACAATTGGGACAAGAACATCATTCTGGCTTGTGAAAGAGAAAAGGAGCCATCATACACCATCCCACCAGTTAGGTGTGGTGACATTGCGGAACATTCTAAGATTTAAGAAACCCCAAAGGATCTCAATTGCTTTTATTTGGGGGAGGGAGGCTGATTACTTGCTAAGCTCATCAAACAAGATCCTTTACATTTACTTTCCTGCCTCTGACAGAGGATTTTTAAGATATGAGGGTGCTTTGTGGCTCTCACTGCTGCCAACAATTAGAGGTGAATTTCAGACTCAGTGGTTGCTTCTGATTCCAAGCTGAAAAGCAAGCTAAGACTCTGGGGCCCAGACCTCCACGCAGTGACACTCCTAAAGCTACTGACTCATCTTTTTACCTGGGCTTCCTTCCTGTTAGCTGCAGGTAGAAGTCATAGATGATCGCAGGTGCCCAGTGACTGACTGCGTTCCAGTACTGGCTTGTGAAGGTGCTGGTTGTGAAGTCAGCTTTTGGCCTCCTAAAAGGTTTCTCATATGGGATTTTTTCAAAGCTTGCCATGATCTGGAGTCCTGGAAGGCGGTAGGGGAGAAACGGTGTGAGTGCTAAGTATAAGAGCAGGCATGGTGTGGTGGGAGGGGAGGATAGCATTTGCAATGGGTGGAAATAATAAAGCCTAAGGACTTGCTGTGTAGAGTCAAGAATCAACTCCTGAGAGCAGGCAAGCAGTCACCTGTAAAGCAGTCACCTGTAATGTGAATGGGTTAAGAATAGGGTCCATTTATTAAAACCTTTACCCTAAGAGTTCTTGGAGGAAGAGTTTTAGTCAGTACAGTCAGGAATTGTCAAGAAGAACCTAGAGCTGTCATGAAGTTTGCAGTCTGTCTTGTCTGCCCTAAAAGCCCAGGTCTTGGTTTCTTTGCTTGGGTCGTGACTTGCAGAACTATCAGGAAAGCCAACACTTTCCTGAGGCCTCTGTAGCAACAGCAGGATGTCCAGTCTACTCCTGCGGGAATATGTTGGACTTTACTATCCAGTCTTGGCTCAGTTTTATTTTTCCCTATAATTTTTATTATTGTTCAGATAAAACCTAGTTAAACTTTTAATGTACATTTTTAAATTCAGTAGTTCTTTTCAAGAGATATTCATTTGAACTGATTTTGGTATTCTGTGAAATTCTCACAGAATATGCCTAAGTTCACCATTCAGTTATTCAGTTATGAAACTATCAGTTATTAAGGTAATATGATGGCTGCCTTCTTGAGACATAGTACCTGGAAACCTGTATGAAAGAGGAGGTTCTTGAGAAACATCTGGTCTCTAGGCAGACTGACTGCTTGAGAGAGAAAACAAAAAGTTGTGCAGTTTGTAATATGAGAGACTCCACTATACTGTTCTCGGATCTGCACAACCACTGGGATATATAACAACTGCTGGTATTTCGTAGCTCTGAGCCTGGACCCTTGAGATTCCACCTCAGCCTTTCCAAATACATAGACAACATTTGTTTCCCATCAATCTTCCACCTCTCAGTTAAGTGCTAACTCAAGTACTCAGTTGTTCAGGAAAAATATTTGGAGTCATCCTTGATTCTTCCCTTTAACAACCCACATTCAACTCAAATCACTGCAGCTGTAACACTGCATTTGTGTGCTCAGGGGCCTCAGCCCCATATATACTAGCTGCCTCCCTCTGAAGAGCTGCCACGGTGGTTCTTTTAAAGTGTAATCAGACTCTATTCCTTCCCTGTACAGGACCATTCAGTGGAATCTCACCAGTCAGAGGGAAAGTCAGACACCACCTCCCAGTCTATGCAGCTTTGCACCATCCCTCTCCTCACTCCCCAAGCCCGTGGACTTTATTTCCAGCCATTTGCTCTGCACTTTTGAGTCTGCTTTTTTTCTTTTAGGAACTGAGTCTTATCTAGTATGTATTTCTTCTTACAAGAAAATAGTACTGTGAGTTAAAATTTTTTGTTTGCTCATACTTGTATAGTCCCTTGGATTGTAGCTGCCTGATTTTAGTACCCAGTGAATATTTTTTTATTGGGTAGGACCCAGGAATCTGAAGGCGTCCTCTTGGAGGGATTGAAATTCAGTGGTTATTACATCTACAAGAGAAGCAGGAGGCCAGCTTTCTAGTCCACTGAAAGCAACAGTTTCCTATCCTGATCTGAGTGGAGCATGGACTGTCTCTGGACTGACTGCATGTGTAAGTTACAGTGAGCACCCTAGGTTATTTTAAAGACTGCTTCCAACAATTCAAGTGCTACAGCATTCTACAATTCTATAAAATAGACAGTAGACAGCTTGTAAAAGAGTATTTTGACTCTCAGAAGAAGACTTTGCAGGTAGCAATTTTTTAATTTAAGATACCGTATGATTTCTACTTGTACCTCTTTTCTGAGTAATATATTAATTTTGTTATTGAAGTAGAGAAGATCTATTTTTATTCCAAATGCTTTCAAAATTATTTACATGTAGATTTAAATACCTGGATATATAGTTTAGAGAACTTAGGTGGTAGTAGTTAATTCATGTTTACTGAAATAAAAACTTTGAGAATAAACTAATACAAGCATTGTGCTTGCTCTGAATTGGAAATCTGATTCTAACCAAATAAGTACATTTCATTTTTTCCTAAAAACTACTGTTGTCCAAATAGATAGATGATTTAAATGTTTTAGATATTCACAAGAAAATCAAATCCTGAGACCTTCCTGGTGGCCTGGGGTTAATTCTCAGGGCTATCACCACTGTGGTCTGCATTCAGTACCCAAACAAGGACCTGACCCACACATGGCGCCGCAGAGCTCTGCTGTCTCGAAGGCTGCTCCCCTTAGTGTACTTCAGTAAACCTGCCTATTCTACTCCCCACTCTGTCTCTAGTGATTCCTCTCATCCACTGAACCTCTGGCCTACACCCAGTTCAACACTTTCCCCCCAGAAAGAAAAATCCCCAACATCTGAGTGTCTTGGTTAGATAATTTTCAATTCTAAGCAGGATAAATTGCTTTAATAAGAAACTATCAATTTTACACTTCTGGCTAGTGCATCAATTGATGAAGATTATCAATGACTGAATAACAAAAGTCAGTATCACTGGAATTTTCTAAACCTACTTGGTCATCTATCATTTCATACCTCAGTGACCTAGCAGCGGGGTGAGGAATGTGGATGGCAGCAGCGGCTGGCCAGCAATAGTTATCACTGACATTGCTTAAAACTGCTGATCTTTACCTGCTTTTTCTCTTTAAGAAAAATCTCTATGGCCACTGCATCCCATGCTGATTACAGTTATGGAGGTGTCTCCCAATTCCCTCCTTGGGAGGCCACCTTACTCACTACCACACATGCACAGTTTGCAATTGTTTAATCTCTTGATTTATTCTCAGTCTTTATCACCCTTTAACTCTATGTTCCAAGACACTGTGTCCATTTTCCCCAGAAGCAGACATTAACAGGACATGGTAGAACAGAGCAGCTGAAGTTCTATCACTCTAGGCACTTACCCATCTTGCCCCAGTTACAGGGATTGAGGTTACCAGATGTACAGTGGTAGATTAATGTTGATTTAGGTCTGGAAAATGAAATAAAAATTAATTAAGTACAACAAAATGGAGAACTAATGTAAGAAAACAAGGAAAGATAACATTTAGACAAGGTTTAAGTCATTCCCATGGGTAAAGCAATTTATGAAATACTTTTCAGTTTTCATTTCTTTTTTCAATTGTGAAGCAAATGAATGAGAAACTGTATGTGTGTGAGAACATGTGTAAAATGTGTGAAAGAGACCTCAACTTGGTGTGACATATTTCTTGAGCAAGTAAAGGTACCAGGACAATGAGAAAGGGGATCGTATTTCCACCTTCTGGTAAATACATACGCGAAGTTTTCTATTAAATCCAATGGGTACTACTGGACTGAGGGATGTCTAAATGTCTAACCTCAAAGAAGAAAAATTTAATTGTGGTCACCATTTACTCACAGAGCCACATATACAAAGAGCTTATTTTTCTTTGTACTAGGAAATAACCCCAACACAGTGATCGGAATTTTGGCATTTATAAGGAACTGAATAATTCAATAAAATTGAAAGTATGCTGATGTCACCTACTTTTGTCTTACTTGCCTTAAAAAGGAAAGATGCATTTTAATTACTAAAGGAAAACTCTTTGGATATCAAGAATTATATGGTTAAATGATTTAGAACCAAGTAGTAGACTGTATTTATAAAAGAACTCACACCTATTTATATTGCATATGATGGCACACTTGGAATTATAAAACCACTGAAAAGGATACCACCTCATACTTGGGGTCTTCTATAATCAAGTGCATGTGTTTTGGAAACATGCCTATTCACCCTCCTCATCAAATCTTGCTAGATAGCTCAAACATCCACACCTGTGAATTGCTGTGTACCATCCCACAGCCAAGGTGAGGTTGACGACCGTATCGACTGGAATTAAATCCGCCACTGCCTTAGGAGTAGCTTTTATACACCGAAGTAGCCCTTTCCCAGCCTGCACAAGAAAAAGAACAGAAAACATTGGATCAGGTCATATACAACAACTGAAGCTAAAGTATTTATTAGATAACACTAATGCAGTTAGTAACAATGTTAACATTGATTCACTGCTTACTGGGTCATTGGGCTAAGGCTGATTTATCTCAGCCTATTCAGTGTCCAAGCCAAGTTCATCTCAAGTGCCACCATTTCCATGAATCACTAGTGCTCAATTTTTCAGGGGTTAATATATTCAGTTAAATACCAAGAATAAGTTTTCACATCTTAAATATCAATTCATAAGACATTTTAAGAATTAAGATTTCCCCTAAATATTAGCTTGACATATTTAAATGAGGTTTTTTCTGCTATTGCTTATGAACTTATAAGCGATAGTAAACACCCTTAGTTTAAGAACATTAAAAAAATAAATTTTAAAACAATAATATACTTTAACAAAACCTTTCTTTAAAAAATGAATAATGTAACTTAACAAAATCTTTTTTTTTTTTTATGACTTGGGGAAAAGCTACTTCTTTAGTATTTTGTTCAACATGGAGGTAGACTCAAGCCATGTAGGTCAGCTTCCTGGCCTGGGATGGAACTGGGAATTATTCATATTAATTAAAGTCTTGTCAATAAATATGGCAGTTAATAAATAAATATTTATTCAGTTTATAAAGCAATTGATTATTTATATCCTGCATGTCTCTAACATAAATTTGAAGTGATTAACACTTCCTCAGGGTAGGAATTTCTATCATTTTTGTAACTGATGCCCATTTTTTATTTTTAAAAATTTATTTAGCCCAATCCAGAGCACCTGGGCGCCGCGCAAAGCCACTGATCAGCTCGACCAGCTCGGGAACCGGCAAGATAGCTGCAGAGTAAAGATGCCAAGACGACTTCATCCAAACTCGCATGGGATTATACAAAAGCGGACTATAGACTTT